GGGGGAGATGCTGGGCTAGATTGCGTCCGCCGTTATGCCCGCGACCGCACAAGGGCGTCCGTATGGCGGTCCGGCTGCTGATCCGCTCTCCATCCCTTTGTCCCTGGCAACAGTTACCGCGGTGCACGTTTCCAAATTTAGCAGCGGATGGTAGCCCGTGACCCCCGTGGTATCCAGCTGGTCCTGCTGCAAAAACGAGATTTATTTATGTGTTTCTGCGGAGCCGGGCCGTGGGGGCGGCTCGGATCGATGAGGGCCCCGTGTGTTTCTCAGGACCGTCACATGCACGGAGAGTTGCTTTGTTCTGATGCGTGCGCGGGGCACATCACAGCAGAAAAAAATATATATCTATGCGCTCGGGCGTTCGGAGCAGCTGATTGGCTGGCTGCAGAGGGGGACGGGACGGGTCCACAGACGCATGGTTCCGGAGGGGCTTTGTTAGGGGATCCTTTTCTGTCAGGACCCTGGTAACAGCTGATGTCAGTGGCTCCCCGGAACATTCCACTGGGAAGATGCTACGTGCTTTAAAGTTGTGGTTTTGGTTGCAGGTTCTGTCACGACAGGGCCGAGATGTAACGCAGGTGAACCCAATACAATCCAGGTCCAGGTAAACTCTGGGTTCGGTACTGATCCAGAAAATGTCGACAGGGGCTATATGTGGTGATTTTAGACGTCGTGACAAAAGGGGAAAGGGCCTGTGGAACCAAAAATAAGGATTTTTATTCTGAAATAAGGAATTTCCTAATTTTGCTATCATATGTCACGACGTCACACGTATTCTGAAGCACCAGGACTCGTTTGGTTTTTCAGGGATGTAGCGACTCAAAGCCACTCGAGTCAGAGTTTAGCACCATGGATGCGGAGTGAGTCACAGCAGGACACTGAAACCAAGCAGTCCGTCGTCCACGGCAACCGTTTACATCAGGTCCCCCTTGGCGACTGTCGCCAGATTCGAACCTTCGGATGAAGCTGCAATAGACGACTCCAGAAGAGATTCCTGCTGGTCGTCACTTTGGTCGTGGATTTTAATTAGTCCCGGGAGGCAAATGTTGTCCTTTTGTGGGGCATGTTTGTTTAGTGTTGTTTGTTTATTATTTCGACTTTAAACAGCATTAGCTTTAGCATCCCATCCAGGACATACCCCCAACTTTGTGCCCTGTTTCAGAAGCCCTGTGATCCTGACACTCGTGGGAGTTTTACTTGCACAAAGATGTTCTAAGAGCAGCACAAAAAAATAACATTTTGTTCAGAGAGATAGCCAATCAGATTGTAGAGGAGGCGGGTCCAAGCAACTAGAGGAGGTGGGGCCAAAACATCCGATTGGTTGGTCTGACATCTGACCAAGATCTCGTTGGTTATCTCTCCGAACCACTCATTTTTCATTCTACTCTCAGAACATTTTTTGTGTAAGTAAAACTCCCATGAGTGACCCAGACCAGGGTAAGTAATTAGAAGATGGATTGTTCGACACCCTTCTATGGTTTTAGGGGAACAGGCGCTATGCTCTTGTACACATGGATCCATGATCTTTGTGGTAAACAGCGGCTGTCAGGATCCACAGCCAGCAGATAAAAGCATGACAGGGACAAAGTCATTGTTTTCCACTGTAGATTTTCCACTCCAGGATGGGCATAGAGTACGAGGGCAGGAAGATCAGCAAGGGAGTCGCGTTTTCCACCAAAAAACATGATGCAGAAATAGCTTTCTATGAATAGAAAGTGTCCCCATAGTTTAGCGCGCAAATAGAAATTAGGGACTAAATAAAGTCATTTAAAATAAGCATCCTTCCCCTCTTAAAAATGCCGTCATTCTCATTCGCTTGTCTTTTTGATGTCTCACACAGCCGTCTGTCTAAAGCTACCATAACACACATGACTGAAATATCATTAAGGCAATTACAGTCTGTGGCACAAGCTGAATGACAAATCCTCGTATTCATTCCCGGTCTGTTTACTCACTCGGCGGGAGCCAATATCCATGGCAACGGTGCACACGATCTCACATCTTCCCGCGTCGAGGAAATGACACAGCAGTGACACATTTTTAACTCGCGCGCCTGAAATAACGCACCTTGCTTGGGGAGGCAGATGCGGCGAGTGCTGGTCAAGCCTACACAGCCCTCAGCCCCAACTGCGGCCTCCGCAACTCCGTGGGATTCAGCTCGACGACATCCGTGAGCTTCCTGAGAATGCCTGTGCGGTGGACCACTCTGAAGCAGGGGCGATTCTCGGATTCTCGGAAGGTGGGGAGCATAAGAGGGGCCATAGTTCATACAGAGGGGCCAGTCTTATCATTAGCCAATGAAATGTTTTGAATCAGCGAGTGACAGTTGAGGGGATACTGTGGGGGCCAATCAGCTTTCAACTGGGGCCAGTGCCCTTGTAGCCCCATCCCCTGTAAACGCATCTAGGGCTAAAGCAACAGAGGACCAGACGCAATAAGAAGAGGAGCAGTAGCAATCTGTCACATGACTGGGGGTCACATGCATGCAGTCGGCTGAAGTGGGTTGGCCACTAGTTGGATAAAAACCTCCTTGCTGAATTCCCAAGGAACATTCCGGCTCCTTTTAGCCAATGTTCCTCCGACCTACTGGTCCTATTTCTCGGTGGCCTAAAAAATCCTATCTCCGAATGACGGAATGCTCACCTCTCACGGCATTAACTTTGATGGAAAATCTATTTCAATGGCCGTTTTTCAGGCGCAAAGAATTGCCCGTGGTTCCCTGTTGCAGTTCTCTCCAGGTTTTGGTAGAGAACATAGGACAGAAGAAGCTTTGAAGGAGTTCTCTTCTGTGATATCACTAGGATCGCTTTTGACTGTCTCTGAGAACTTCTGAAAAAAAAATTTAACAGAAGTAACACTTGCTATCAGAAGCCCTTGCATCATTCGTCATGGTGAAGCAAAAAGACCTTAATTTACAGAGAACTAAATGCACAGTATCCAGAATCTTCCAGCACACATTCATGCACACAGATGCACGCCACATAACACAGATTACCTGACCCCTTTGAGTCAAATAGCATGCACTGTTGGAATTTATTCCTGTACATTGTCTTTCCCACTCTGCCTACAAATCCCTCTATCTTAGGCCCTGCCTACATATCCCACTCTCCCCCAGCCTCTGCCTACAAATCCCACTTTCCCCCAGGCCCCTCCTACATATCCCACTCTCCCCCAGGCACTGCCTACAAATCCCACTCTCCCCTAGGCTCTGCCTACATATCCCACTCTCCCCCAGGCCTTGCCTACATATCCCAATCTCCCCCAGGCCTTGCCTACATATCCCACTCTCCCCCAGCCTCTGCCTACAAATCCCACTTTCCCCCAGGCACTGCCTACAAATCCCACTCTTCCCTAGGCTCTGCCTACAAATCCTACTCTCCCCCGGACTCTGCCTACAAATCCCAATCTACCTCATGCTACCATTACAAACCCCAGCTCTTCCTCATGTTACACTTACAAATCACATTCCCTGCTACATCCCACACCCACAAACCCTACTATAACTTATCTAAAGTACAAAATGAAGAGTACAAATGTCTAGATTATCTAGTTACCAAGCAAGTTAGCAATTGTAATATCATTTTATGTATGACAACTGATTAAATCAATCCAACTTTCAAGACCACTTACCAGTAAAGTCTGTGGCGAGGCTTTTAACCTAGTATAGACAGGGCAGTTCATTTATTCATATCTTTGTGGGGACTCTCCATTAATTTCTATGAGCATAACTCTAAACCAACAATGACGACCCTAACCCCCACCCAGCCCTAACCTTAACCAGAAGTAACCAAAAAAAATACAATTATTTTGGCATTTCTAGTTTTTTGATCGCAGTCACAGATTTTTATAAAGTTAAAAAGTTACAGGTTTTCATCACATTGTGTGGACACTGGGTCCCCACAATGTAATAATTACAAATTCACAGACACACACACATACACACAGACTGCCAGAGGTGCGACTTTGCTGTCCTACCCACTGAGCCACTAAACCACCCTAGTTTATTATAGTCAAAAGGAAATATACTGCAGTTAAATTAGACCACAAGGTCTGTGTTATTTTTTAACTGGAAGACATTTTATATTTATGTTGGCAATTCATTAAACCGCACGTTGCTGATTCTCAAGGTACATAAGCGCGGATCCTAAATGAAGCCATCAGCCTACTGAGCCCGGCGGGTCGGACGGTGGACGGACGGACGGCTCGGCTCAGAAACGTGTGCTTCGCGGTGGTGTTAGCATTACTGTGTTTAGTGCTGGCATTAGCGCT